GTGACAAATCAGCCTATAGCTCCTTGGGTATCAAACGAGGTTTGAATCTTCATAGGGGTATCAAACATCTTACAACCAAGAAGACAATTTCTTCAATAAGAATGGCAACATACTTCCTTTAAGAAAGTGATACCCACTTTTTTCCATAAGCAAATTCAACTCCAAGAAAATACTTGAGTCATCTAAAACGTTTAGTGATCAAACAATTTTGGAGGTTGCAATTTCCCTCAAATATATTATTATAACAACTGCAATGGCCAGATAAACATCAAGGATGATAGAGTTTGAGATAGTACATCTTGCAAAGATATAATGATCTATGGTGCTACCATGAAGGCCAATTTAAACAATAACCTAACAAAGCTGGTCAAATAATTAAATTAGGCCCCTAGACTATGTTTAAGGGTATGATAGCCTTCTTGAGTAAATATATGTAATTCTCTCCCTTTGCAAGATACCAAGATGGTTGTTCTATATAAATGACCTCCTAAAAAACACCTACTGACTCTTTTCAAAGAGGATTTTACAATGCTTCCTAGCATATCTTGGGAATAAATGTAACATGGACTTAACAAAAAAAGAGGACAGAAGATCAAATGTGATATAAAAGTGAATAAAATGAGCAATATGTTGTCTTTTATATTTTTATATGCCAATGATTAAGTAGAAATCAGAGAATTTATCAGTAATTTGTTGCTTAATAGAATCTTGTAAAGTGGTCAGGATATCGAAAAGATATAAGTGAAAAGTTATCAAGGAGAGACAATGGAACTCTATTGATAAGATAGCAAGTAGTCAAGAAGAAATCCCTCCAAAATTATTGATGAAAATTCATATAAAAAATTAAAATTCAAGCAACATCAAGAAAATGGTTATTTGTGCACTCAACCACATTACTTTGTTAAGATCTATAGGAGCACAAGGTTTGATGAATAGTAACAGTGCTAGAAACAAATATTTGAAATTAAGATTTAGATTTCAAAGCTTTGTTAGTGAGTAAATTTTGATAAATGTAGAGAACTGAACTTTTATTTATTTATTAAAGGTTTTAAATATGTGTAGGACTTTTGACCAATATATAAGTAGCTCAAAGAAACCCTAGAATAATCATTAATGAATATAGGATAATATTTAAATCATAAGTAAGAACTAGACTAGGGCTCTAAATGTCAAAATGAACAAGATCAAAATGACAATGTCAATTACTATTAGGGGAAGAAGGAAATAAGGCACAATGGTGCCTACCAATTCATAAGCAAAACATTAAAATTGGGACAGCAATAAAGAGATAGAACATAATCCCAAAATCAATCATGAGGAGGAAGACCAAATTGACAATGCCAATAAAAAGAGTGCGGTGGAAGAGGCGGAAAGAGCATTAATGGTTAATTAACAGATTTTGCTAGATGTAAAAGATCCACCATTCATCTTTCTCGAGCTAGGATCTTAAAAGACAATGAATTGAATAAAAATTTATTGAGTAATTATAAGTCTTAGTAAGACAATGAATAGACAATAAATTGATAGGAAAATGCACAAAATACATAAGCTTTGAAAGAGATGGATATATGATGTAGTGGATCGTCGGAAGATTCGACCTGCAAGAAGGATTTTTTTATCCCAATCCAGGGAAGAAGAAGAACACAAGCTCTAAGGCTTCAAAGGGTATAATATATCATTCAATGAGCCATCCCCCTATAATACCTGCTATTTATAAAGCTAAAGAGCATTCTAGAAACTAGTACTAACAAACTAGATAAGATATTCCTAAGGAGAACTATTAGCTATAATATTCCACATCATTCTCCCCTTGCGTCAAAAGAGCTCGACTCTGTTCGAGGCTCGTGATTTAGGAGGGAGGTAGATGTGAACATCCCAACCAGATCCCCGGGTCGAATACTTTAAATGCAGACTTTAAAATTACAACATGAAGAGGATTTCCCCAATCCAAGTGAGGAGGTTGAACTTTGGAATCCTTGAATTGAACTAGCATTTCAATTTGCCAATTGGGTGGTGGATATAAGTTCTTGGCATACAACCAATCCCTCCTGAAATCAACGGCAAAAGAATGATCATTTCTCCAAATTCCATAAGATAGGGAGGCGAGCACATTCTCTCCTTTAGTTTTGTTCCGTTCCTCCTCTTCATCCCACAAGTCATCCAGCACAAGTAAGAACCCCTTTGATATTATCTCAGATTTAAGATTCTTATGAAATGCATAAAGTGTATTCAAAGGAGGTCTACTCATTTTAAGAGATTTCAACATATCTTCAATGATTTTGTCCACATCACAGTTGTTGAATACACAAACCCACGGTTTGAGATCAAATTCCTCTGTCATTTCATCTTTGTAGACATACTGCAAGAGAGTTGTCTTTTCCATACCCATGCGGATTGGTTGGACTCTTTGAGCCAACTGAAGATACCGGAATCCCAATCTCCGGCGTGGATTTAAGCTCATTCCTTTCAGCTGAGCAATCCAGGCTCGTGATCAGCAGACTCGACTGCCTGCTTCTGGCCGCCGGCCAGCGAAGGTGGAGATCCAGGGCCTTCGAGTTCTCGGAATGATCCGAGCTGGCAGCGGTGGAGCTTCCTGCCGCAGTAGTGGGCCGCCGGTGAATGTCTGAAGACGTTTCAGCCTCAGGAACGAATGTGTCGGAGTGCTGGATGTTTGCATTGGAGTCTTTTTCAGCAAAGCTGCTGCCAAATGATGTAGGAACTGATATATGTGTAGTGCTCTTGTGTTCTTGTCCATTTGAAAGACCCGGAACAGTTACTACAGCCTGAGAATTATTTGGAACTTCAATAATCACTTCCTCTACCGGATCTTCATCTTCAATAGTTGAACCTTCCACAGATTCTGAAGGATCACAAGTTTCCCATCATTGACTACATCCACTTCTGGTCTTGCTGCAGTTTGCTCAATAATAGTTTCTTCCTGAAAAGGAATGAAATCATTCTCCATGTTCTGAGCACCAGCATCATAGGTAAGACCCTGCTCGCGAGATGAAGTGGTGGCAAGACTGGAATCGAGGCGTGAGAGATCGGGCTCGACGCTAAGAGCTAGATCACAAGAGCATAATGGCAGCGGAGGCGAGAGCTCAACAGGGGCAGTTGCTTCTTCGGCTTCTAGATCCCGATCGTCCTGTCCATTTTTATGAGTCGCAATAGCCAAATTATGTCTGATTCTGCTTTGTGAATCAAAGACCTGCTAGACATGCTCTAGATGGAGGAAGGAATCGGAAGCGAAATCGGAATAAGCTCCGATGCTAGACAATGGGCGTGCCAGCAGATCTGAACGGCATTTGGCGTGCTTGAGCGGAGGGGGTTCGTGCCACCGGAGCGGCAGTTCAAACGGAGGGTAATCATTAACGACGGCGGGTATATGGCGGGATCGATGGCGTTGGCGTGAAGAGGATGAGAGGAGTGAAGAAGAAGAATGCCTCGATATGGTTGCCGATGACATTCGCATCTTCCTTATTGCCCGAAGGTTTTCTTTAATCCGATCAAGGTTTCTGTCTACCCGATCGAGCGATTCCTTCGCTTGAGCTTGATAGAATGCGATCCGGCTTCGAGCATCGTCGACAGCCAACCTTCCTTGGCGTCAATCATCGTCGACCGCCAATCTTATTCTGCGGCTTCGATCGTCGTCGACAGCCTACCTTCTTCCGCGGTCCATCGATCTTCACAAGCTCCAGGCTCTGATACCAACTGATATAGTGGATTGTCGGAAGATTCGACCTGCAAGAAGGATTTTTTTTTATCCCAATCCAGGGAAGAAGAAGAAGAACACAAGCTCTAAGGCTTCAAAGGGTATAATATCTCATTCAATAAGCCATCCTCCTACAATACCTGCTATTTATAAATCTAAAAGAGCATTCTAGAAACTAGTACTAACAAACTAGATAAGATATTCCTAAGGAGAACTATTAGCTATAATATTCCACATCAATATAGAAGGACGTACAATGCTTTTTCCAGCAACATGTGATGGGGAACCATCTAGAAAAATGACAATAGGTGTAGCCCACAAATGAAAGATTTTGACTGTACAAACTATACATGTGATTGTAAAAATATCAAGAGAAATAAGAGAGAATTTGATCATACATATGGGTGTAAATTGAGGCGAGCTAAGGAAGCCAATAAATGCTTTTGTGTGGAGGAATTTGCAACGTCGTGCATGAGGCATTTGATTTCGTTCGGGCTGTTAATAGACAACAGCCAAAAAAAGCTAAAAAAAGAGTGGTTGTTAGAGAATTTAATTGGAGAAAAATTAGAGAAGGGAAGAAAGAGATGAAGAAGTACTTTATATGATCGTGGAGTATCATCCCAAGAAATTGAAAGCATGGTTGAGTTAAAATTTTCAAAATTCCATAGATATGTGAGGTAATATCTTCTTGAGTTTTTGAAGAATGTAATTCCTCGTATTGGTTTAATCATTTTAGTTGACTATCTCTCTTGAGTTATTTTCACTCCTATTTTTCTTAAGAGATCAAGGCTTCTTTTTTGTGGTGAGTTTAGGTGTATTTGGGTTTTAGGAAAATCATTTTCTTTAGCTCTTATTATTATGTGCACATATGCAAATTCTCTATGATAGATCAAATCTTCTCTCATCTTTTGTGCACATAGCTTATTTTAGGCAAGCCATGTAAACATTGATGTCTTTATGATTACTTTGCACGTTCATCATATCTGCTCCTAATAGCTTCCTCCAGATAAAAATTAGGTATTTGCCCTAACAACCCTTGCCTATGCGTTACCACTGGAACTACTATTGAAGCTCAACCTTATTATCCATCCCTGGAACTACTATTGGAGCTCGAATTTATTATCCATCACCGCATATCCAGTTAACGACCCTCCAACTTTTCAGGGACTTCGACTTGAAGCGCATTTTTATTGGGTAATTCTAAAGTTGAGTCTGTTCAGACAATCTTAATTCCCAAATACTCTTCTAGTTCATAGGAATTCTTCTGGCACACAACGAAGATTGCAAGAATTGTAAAGCAGCTCTTTCTAACGTGTTCGACGAGTACAAACAATTTCAATAAGCGCAAGAGAAATGTGTCAGCCTTCTCTAGTGTGCAGACAATGAAATAGACAAAGCTCGAGTGAGGGATTTCCAGCTACGTGCAAACCAAGAAGGTGAATCTCTCACCGAATGTTTTGACGAGATTATGCGCTGGAATGCAATAACCGGCATTATCAGTTTAATTGCTCCGATGACAAGAAAATTTTTAAGCGAAAGAGAATGAACAGTCTCCCCCCAAATCATCGAATCCAAAGGTAATAAAACAAGCAAACAAGAACGTTGGAAGAGTTCCTGAACTGGGAAAACACACAGTTCAGAACCAGCGTCAGATGAGTCTATCCACGCTCCACCCCGTCATTTGCTTCTCCAGGATCACCCCGCTTTATGGAAACTATAATCAAATCAGAGTCGGGCTAAACTTTATATAAATTGCTGCATTGAAACACAGAGATGCAGGCAACTAAGGATTTGAGGGTATTGGGAGTGATTACCCGACAAATAGAAGAAGCTTTCGCTGCAACACCTCTCTCTCCTCCCGCCACGGGTCTCTTTCTCCTCCCGCTTCGGATCTCCTTTCAATGCATCTCTATATCGTAGCGGATTAAAGATCGAAAATAAAACACCGCACGACTATGCTCCATCGATTCAGGTTTCTGGTAGAAATAATGATTAAGCAAGAACTAAATATCAAAAGCTTCTCAAATTAGTAAAAAAAAAAAATTCTAAAAAGTATTTTTATAGGAGTGTCTCATTCAAATAACTACTAAAAAATATTTTTTTCATTTAAAACATGAAAAAGGAAAAAAAAACACCTAAACAAACGTGGCCTCTGTGCATCGTAACAATGTTTGTATTCGGATTGGGTCGCTTCTGACTTGAATTTTATCTGATCTCAAATTAGTAAAAAAAAAATGGGATTTTTACATACATACCACTTTATAACATATATATTACATATTTAACACTTAAAACTTAAATATTACATCAATACCACTTAAAAACAAATTTTACCTCAGAAATACCACTCTGTTAACAGCAAGTATGACTCCGTTACTTCCATATTCCCGCCTTGAGTTTTCGCGGTAGCAAATCCCTCCGTATTCTCTTCCTTTGTATTTGCTCTTCCACCGAAGCTGCTCGTCCATGCGAGTTCTGCCATTCGTATTCACCAGGTGAATTTTCTCTAGGTTTTTATTCTTGCCTCGCCTTTGTAGCTTGTCTGCTCTTCCTCCGAAGCTCTTCCTCCACGCTTTTACCGAAACTTCTCTGTTTTCTGATGCCTGGAAAGAAAAAGTGACTCCAAACATTTTCCTTTTACCGAAACTTCTCTGTTTACTGATGCCTGGAAAGAAAAAGTGACCCCAAACATTTTCTTATGTTGAGGCTTTTACCAAAACTTTTAAAAAGGAGTCCAGGAAAATTTTTTTTGTCAGCTTTAATATCTGAAACATTTTCCTATGTATTTGAGTTTATGAAACATTTTCTTATCTTGAGGCTTTTACCGAAACTTTTAAAAAATGAAACATTTTTGTTAGATTTTTGGCACTAATTAACGGTGTGATGTTGTATTTATTTCAGCTTGAACCTAATGAAAAATGACAACCTCCTGGCATAATTCGGTAATGCAGGATTGTGACGAAGTAATAGATGATGTATGTGGAGATAAAAATAAGCATTTGTTTATTGCTTTTAAATTTGGAGGAATTTGGGTTGACACAAAGGACCAGTCTAGAAAGAGATATATTGGCGGAAAACAAAGAACTGTGAAGCTTGAGAAAGGACATATAAATATTTTCAAGATTAGAACAGAGATTGCCAGAATATGTCCTTGGTTGAATTGACATCAATACAATATGCATTATCACATTAATGGAACATCACCCAAGGAGTACAAAATAATGAATTACGATGATGACGCGAGCCTTTTGGTAAACTCACACATTAATGAAAATTCACGTGCCGAAATAGTTATCTCATTGTACGAAGTTGATGAAGATCAATCAAACTCACAGATTATGGGGACTGAAAATTTTGAGCAAATAATAGATGGGTCAATTTCTCAGAACGATGGTGCTTTGAGATTTAAAAAATCTAGTGTTACAGATATCACTGTAGGTACATTTTTTAATGATGCTACAAGTTTCAAAAATGCACTCCGATCATTTGCCATTAGAGAGAACTTTGGGGTGAGGATAAAGGCCAGTGATAAGAAACGAGTTATTGCAACTTGTTCCTTTCAGGGTTGTCAATGACGAATTCGGGCATCCCTATGTGAAGACACTCAATCTTTTCAAGTTAGGAGAGTTGATGGAGAACACACATGCCCTGGGATTAATCGTGCTGGAAATCGGCTAGCTTCATCTAGATGGGTTTCTAATCAGATTCAAGAGATGGTGAAGAGGTATCCAGATATTCCACCAAAAGAAATAAACAGTGGTTTAGAGAAGGAATTTGGTTTATCACTACCTTATATGAAGCTTTGGAGGGCAAGAGAGCAAGCTCGTGACACAATTTTTGGCTCAGTTGATGACAACTACAAATGGGTTCCAACAATGGCAGCAGAATTACTTGATAGAAACCCGGTCTCATACATAACATATACATTTAATGCTACTGATAATTCTTTCCAAAGGTTTTATGTTAGTTTCAAGGTGTATGTGGATGGATTTTTATATGGGTGCAAACCACTTATAAGTTTAGATGCATGCCATCTTAAATCTAAGTATTTGGGTGTCCTTTTATCCGCCAACTCGGTAGATGGAAATAATGGCTTATTCACCATAGCATTTGCTGTTGTTGAGGCTGAGTCCAAACATTCATGGTCATGGTTCTTGAAGAACATGGTAGAGACTATTGGTTCTAATTTAAGCACTCTTAGTTTCATATCTGACATGGAGAAGGGATTGGGAGAGGCAATCAAAGAAATATATCCTGAAGCTGAGCATAGAATTTGCATTCGACATTTGTGGAAGAATATCAAAAAAAATTTTCGATGTAAGGATGGGCAAAAAATGCAAGGACTGGTTTGGGCAGCTGCAAATGCCTATACTAATGTAGATATGAACGAGAAGCTTTCCGAACTTCATGAAATTGAGCCCAACTTTGTACTCATATCTCATTTCTTTACCTTACAAGTGGTCAAGAAGTCAATTCATGATCGGGACAGGTCATGCTACTAATACAAATAATTTTGCTGAGTCATTTAACGCGTGGATTGCTGATGCTAGAACCAAACCTGCAGTTGACCTTATTGATTTGGTCCGGGGAAAGGTTATGGAACAAAGAGCTCAACGAAAAATGACTAGCTTGACTTGGCAGAGAGAATTAGTTCCAAATGTTGAAGAATATATCAGAGATATAACAACAAGGAAAGATCATTTGGTTGTTCGTCAAGCTAGCAATTTCAAGGCTGAGGTGGAAGGACTTCACTCAAGACACATCGTTGATATTGAAAGAAAGCACTGTACTTGTGGAGTATGGCAGCTAATAGGTTTGCCTTGCATTCATGCCGTGGCCTTCATTGGTATGAAAGAGCACCCATTGTGACACACATATGTTGATGAGTTCTACTATGTCGCAAGGTATGAATTAGCAGTCATTGTTCATTGCTTACATGTATCTTACAGCTACTAATTTGAAGGTAACATGTTCTGTAGATATAGAGTAGCATATGATGGAGCGATTACCGCATTACCTGGGAAGGAGCAATGGCGAGTTGTAGTAAATTGTGAGCAAATAGGTGTACCGAATACATGCAGACCAAGAGGTAGACCAAGGAAAAGAAGGCTTTTGAATTTCTTGGAGCAAGACAAGAGAACACATAGATGTGGAAGATGTGGTCTATGGGGACATCATCGAAGTACTTGCAAGAATCCTTTGCAAAATATGAATAACGAGGAGACGATGACCATGGAAGTAGGACGAAAACGACGGGACAAGTTGCCAAGTAGGCGGGTAGCGGATGACGTAGAGCAGCAGGAGTTTAATTATTCATATTTAGATGGCTTCTAAAATGAATATCATGTTTGTTACATTTATTTTTGCTTTTTTTTGTTGCTCCTGATTTTGTTATGTAGTAAAATGGAGATCAGAGATTGCTCCTTATTTTGTTATGTTACATTTATTTTTGCTTTCATATATGCAAGCAATTTTCACTGCAGTTCATATATGCAGATATAGTCCATATATGCAAGCAGGAGTTTAATTTTCACTGCAGTTCACATAAACAAGCAATTTTCACTGCAGTTCTTCCATCCGTTATATATCTCTCTTATGCAAGCAATTTAGCCGGTGATCTAATTTCCTGAAATGAAAAAAACTGCAGATATGCAGAAAAAAACTGCAGATGTAGCAAACTTCATATGTATTATCTGCATATATATGAGAGAGATATGCACAGCATATATAAACTTCATATATATGAGAGAGATATGTATTATATAAACTTCATATGTGGAAGTTTTTCTTATATATATGAGAGAGATATGCAGTAAACTTCATATGTATTATCTGCATATATGCAACTGCATTGGAAGAGAGAGATATAGATTTTACCTATATATAAGAAAAACTTCATATATGCACAACACATGAGTTTAAAGACATGAACAAGCAATTTTCCTCATTTTCCAACAACTCAGGTATCAGACCATAAAAGAATTTTTTTTTTTCATTAATTCGGATAAGCAAACAACATACACTTGATCAACACAAGCAACTAACATAGACGACCTAAAAAAAACAAAAAACCCGTGTTGAAACTTCTTAGCAACTAACATTACAAAGCCAAACGGATGGCTACATCCACAAGAAAAATTGCAATGAAGACTTTCATCAAATATCTGATCCAATCAAGCCTCTTAATAACCTGTGCCTCAAAGACTTTGCGTTCATCATCTGTTCCATAATATGCATCTTCTACTTCATCGATCCATCTAAAGTATCTGCAGTCATCATCAGTTCGATTATTCATGCACCTATAAAATTGTCTTCCACTATTGGGACCACGGTGACATGTATACAAGACACAATTGAGCCGACAATAACAATAAACTTCAGCTCGTGTGCGCCTCGTGCCAGATGAATTCGTAGAACTCATTTCAAATGTTATAACAATCTGTCAACAAAGATAAAAAATTTAGGAATAAATTGACAGCCATTACGTAGCAAAAGACAAAGAAATTTACAAAAAGTGACGTGTGGTCACTCCAAACTTAAACACAAGCTGCTTTGAACTAAACCTGAGGAAGATGTGAAAAATTCTACCAATTTGTCTCTGAACTAAACCTGAGGAAGATGTTAAAACTATTACGAATTTCAACTAAACACAATCTGTCACAATTTCGTTACGAAAATCTTTGAAGCAAAACCAAACTCTGACCTAAACCTCTACGAATGCAAGAGTCAAGTGTGAAAAATTCTGCGTATAAGATAACCTGAGGAAGATGATCGGAGATAGAGCTTTTCCGAACGAAAATGGAGCGGAGCTAGGGCTTTCGGCGGGGTAGCGATAGGCTTTCCGAACGCTGCTTGCCACAGCTAGCCGGGAGAAGATATTTCGGCTTTCCGACCGAAAATGGAGCGGAGCTGCTTGCCACAGCTAGCGGGGAGAACACATTTCGGGTATCCGAACGAAAATGGAGTGGGGAGAAGACATTTCGGCGCTAGGGCTTTGATAACGAAAATGGATGGGGACTAACGGAGTGGTATTTTTGTTATGAGAATAGTATTTAGGTGGTATTGATGTAATATTTAAGTTTTAAGTGTTAAATATGTAATATATATGTTATAAAGTGGTATGTATGTAAAAATCCCTTTTTTTATTGTAAGTGTTTATGATACATATGTACTTTTAGATGCACTATAAATGAAATATATTTGAAAATTTTAATGTCTTAAGATTGTTTAATTAACTAGAAAATAAATTCACATAATTATTTTTTATGTTTTTGTTTCTAATAACTTAGATTAATTCTGGGGTAGTTGTTGCTGGGTTATCATAGGTGTGAAGACAATAAAAACCCGTGTTGATACTTCTTAGCAACTAACATTACAAAGCCAAACGGATGGCTACATCAACAAGAAAAATTACAATGAAGACTTTCATCAAATATCTGATCCAATCAAGCCTCTTAATAACCTGTGCCTCAAAGACTTTGCGTTCATCATCTGTTCCATAATATGCATCTTCTACTTCATCGATCCATCTAAAGTATCTGCAGTCATCATCAGTTCGATTATTCATGCACCTATAAAATTGTCTTCCACTATTGGGACCACGGTGACATGTATACAAGACACAATTGAGCCGACAATAACAATAAACTTCAGCTCGTGTGCGCCTCGTGCCAGATGAATTCGTAGAACTCATTTCAAATGTTATAACAATCTGTCAACAAAGATAAAAAATTTAGGAATAAATTGACAGCCATTACGTAGCAAAAGACAAAGAAATTTACAAAAAGTGACGTGTGGTCACTCCAAACTTAACAGCTTTGAACTAAACCTGAGGAAGATGTGAAAAATTCTACCAATTCGTCTCTGAACTAAACCTGAGGAAGATGTGAAAAAATCTACGAATTTCAACTAAACACAATTTGTCACAATTTCGTTACGAAAATCTTTGAAGCAAAACCAAACTCTGACCTAAAATGGAGCGGAGATAGAGCGTGAAAAAATCTGCGTATAAGATAACCTGAGGAAGATGTGAAAAAATCTGCGTATAAGATAACCTGAGGAAGATGACCGGAGATAGAGCTTTTCCGAACGAAAATGGAGCGGAGCTAGGGCTTTTGGCGGGGTAGCGATAGGCTTTCCGAACGAAAATGGAGCGGAGCTGCTCGCCACAGCTAGCGCGCGCGGGGAGAAGACATTTCGGCGGGGCGCTAGGGCTTTGCTAACGAAATTGGATGGGGACTAACGGAGTGGTATTTTTGTTATGAGAATAGTATTTAGGTGGTATTGATGTAATGTTTAAGTTTTTAGTGTTAAATATGTAATATATATGTTATAAAGTGGTATGTATGTAAAAATCCCAAAAAAAATTCTAAAAAATATTTTTTATAGAAGTGTCTCATTCAAATAACTACTAAAAAATATTTTTTCATTTAAAAAATGAAAAAGGAAAAAAAAAACACCTAAACAAACGTGACCTCAGTGCATTGTAACCATGTTTGTATTCGGATTGGGTCGCTTCTGACTTGAATTTTATCTGAATTGCTTTTGGGTTGAAATGAATTTTGATTTGATATGGTTCTGATCTTATTTTCATATTGGATTTCAGCTCGACTCTCCGGAAAAAAAAAAAAAAGAAAGATTTTAGATCAAATCCTAAGCTTTCTAAGAAGTTAATGGCTAGATTGTTTCATGTGTTACTTCTTAGTTGAGAACAATGACCAACGCTTTGTTGAAATTCAATTAGATTAAAATAGTTTTGTTCATGTGATCACAACATTTACTGATCCATGTATCAAACTTAACGCACCATCTAATATTCAACTCTTCTAGAGAAGTATTTTTTGAAGAAGTGGAGAGTTCATATAGAACAATGATGTAAGTTTGATCGAACACTCCAAAAATAATCTCAATAGAATTTAAACTTTTCTCTCTTCTCCATCAATGGTGGTGACACTTTCAAATTAAAATTCAAGATAGAGCGCTAAATGCATCCAAAATTTTGGCCACAATTCTTTCTCTTGGAGCAAGCTTAAATTACGGAAGAGTTACTCTAATAAAGTAATTATTGAAGAAAATTAAAATTTCAAATTAAAGATCTCTTCTCTCTCTTGGATTATAGCATAATTTAGAACGGTGTTACACTACTATTCTCTCTCTTGGATTAAGACATAAATTATAGAAGAGTTACAACAATAAAGTATTAATGAAAATTTTAAAATTTTAAAATGAGTCATGACCATGGATGTCAAAATCTAACCCCCTCTCTCCTGTGAAGCAAGACATAGATTATAAAATAGTTACACTAATTAAAATAGTTACTACCGCCCCTCAGCCCGACCACCACTGCGACCTTCCTACTATTGTCATCGCTGCCCACTATCACCAGTCATCATTGCCCTCAACCATTAGGCGCCTATGATAAATTATTATTCCAAACATATTGTTATTTTCCAATGCATCATTTACTTTATATAAAAATAATAAAAATAAAATCTTGGATTGATAGTGTGCTAAATCGAACAACTAAAATATATTTTCAATATGCTAGTTTTGTTTTACACTACATTTATTTTTCGGCATTACAAATAACCTCTTAATTCCTTTAAAAAGTTCATGAATCAAAGTCTTATAAGAGTAATAATAATTATATGAAGTTATAAGGATCAAAATTAGGTTTTTTGGAAAATGGTGATGGCTAGTTGTCTTTTTTAATGAAATGTTTATCATCCTCAGAGTAATTTAATTTTGTATATTGTTCATATATTAGAGGCTCGTAAAAGTCACATGAAGTTAGAAAATTTCATATATGAATGAAAGATACTCAATTTGAAGCGTTTTGACAAGATCCAAGATCATGGGCATAAAGTTTGCAACTTTTGGGTTCCATTACACGAATAGTTGATCCGTTGTTAGGTCGAGAGGGGACAATTGTTGGTGCTTATATATCTATAAATAATGGATAGTGAGAGCAGTAAGAAGATGATTTGGGTTCAATTTGATCGGCCAACTTTGATTTGGCCCATTTATGCTTGAATTTAAATATTTTTTGTATCATTAAAATTAACTTAAATAGACAACCATTTTGATTATAATCACAAAACATATAGTGTTCATTTGGTCTTTATAATAATTTTTAAAGTTTTTAGTTATTTTTTAGTGCTTTTAAATAAAATTAACTTTGGATGGAAATCTTTAATGTCTTATCAAACCTTAAATATAAACAATTTTTTTGATACATAATTTAAAATATATAACCAACAATTTTCAAAAAAACCACAATACCAAACAAAATCAATTTCACCCTAATTTATCCAAGGTTTCCAAATAATTTGTTTGGTTATTTATCCAATTTTGACACAAAATCAACCAAAGTCACCCATTATTATCTTGAACCAAGCAACACTTAGCCCTATGTTGCTTTGGTGTGCTTTCAATTCAGGCTAAACCAAACTTGCTAAACTCAATTCAAGCTTAAACCAAAAAGAAAAAAAAAATCAATAAATAGACTTTTATCTTCTAAGATAATTTAGTTTTCTCATAATAAAATATACAAGTCTGAGAAGGCTCAATGTTTGATATTATTAGGGCACTAAAATATCTAAAAACTATGTATTAGCAAGGGGGAGTTATAAGGGTTTCAATGGATCATTGAATTTTTAGAAAGAATAACTAGAATGGTCCCACTTAAAAAATTTTAAAAAGTGTCAAACTTCTGCACATTTTTGAGGCAAGGATAATGCCACAAGAAGGATTTCAATAAGAGAATATAGAGCTTTATGTATTAGGATCGGATACTTGTTGTTGACCACTACTAACATCCAAGATCAAAGTCCATCGTCACTGATAAAGTAGATGTTGGATGTCCGCAGCAACACGAATATATGACGTTACTAATAAGACTGTTTTTGAGAAAATCATCATTTGTAATATATGACTCATACTAATAAAATCATTTCAATTGGGTTAAGATCTGTAGCCTTTCTCATTCATAAATTTTCAATGCATGTGTATATGCTTGAGCTGATTTTTTTTTTTTTTCAAAACTAAGATGATCAAAATTCAATCTACCGCCATGAATGTTATAACACATATATAACATTCTACTATATAAAAATGCTTATTCATTTTGTTATATATTAATATTTATAATGTATTGTAAAATAATAAAATATATCATATTATTAAAATATATAATATTGAAAACATATTACAAATGTTTTCTCTTCATTAATTATGCATCAGAATGATTAGATAAATTTTTAAATTTTTAAAAATTATTTCTTAAAATTTAAAGATATTTAAGGTATTTATCAAAACAAAATTAATTCATGTTGCTTTCTTCTCTTATTTAAATTATTTATTTCATACATTTTAATAATTTATTTATATACATTAGGATAATCTATATATATTTTTTCACCTAAAACTTTTTTTCCCATCAACGAGCCATGCATTTCAAATATCGCGATGTTTGAGGATAAATATTGCCCTCTTCCACAAGCTCGCTATCAATTCTGAAGTCAAAACATGCACAATTATAGGGGAAACATTTATGCTATAATTTCTCTCAATGAGTTTAAAAATAATTTAAATTTATATTGATTAATATTTATACATATTGGATTCAAGTTTATTTATGGACATCTATGGATAATCCGAGGGGTATGACCGGAGAACCTATGTGAGAATTGATTAAAAAAGAGGGAGTAGAAAATGGTCTAGTATCTCAAGCATCAATATAGAAACTGACAAAATGTCGAAAATCCTTCTTTTTGTCCTTTATTTATAAGGATTTATGGATTCATGAAATAATACATCGCATCAAAAATAGTAAAAGTACAAAAAATTAATGATCATGGTACAAACTACCTTGGACATGTGTAACACTGCCTAGCTAGATGGATGAATGCACCTCTCATTTTGTACTCCTATGTCCCGGGTTTCCCATATGCAAAGTGTGAACAAGCGCATAGTAGTAGAAGATTATGTTGATGATGAGCAAACTAAGAGGGTTATGGTTGACGAATAATCTGAGATCATTGATGATCATTTGATGGAGACCCAATTACTTCGATGTGGCAAGCAATGATATCCAAGGGACGAGAATATTAGGCTTCATGGTCTGTTCACGATGAAGGGAATGATCAAGAACCATCTTGAAAAGACTGATATGAATGATCCATATACATCACACTGACTTTCCCTGTTGGAGGCGACTTCACTTTAGATTCCTTGTCAAGTTACGTGTTTACAATTTTTTAGTGTGCTCGCATCGCTATGATATAGGATGTATGAGTTCACTTATCATGACCTGCCGACCACCTATTAAATACCAAAAAAAGATATATACAAATGTGTATGTAAGTGTGTGGTGTGTAAGTGTGTATATAAAAAACTATTTATACACAACTTTCTTCATATATTTAACAAAAATACACATAAACTTGACAATTATTTCAATATAATGTTAACACACAAACTTGACCTATACCATTATGCCAATACACTGCTAGCATACACTGTTAAAACACAAATTGGACAAACTATGCCAATATACTGTTAGTATATACAGTTAAAACACAGAGTACTAAAACAATATACTGTTTAGCAAGTTTTTAACACCTTAAACATGTTTTAACTTTATATTAACAGCTATAAAAATAAAAATAAAAAGAGACCGAATGCGACTTCGGAAGAATCAAGGGCGGTCCCTTCAAATACCAACCGCCACTCGATCAGTCGCTCACCAGCACTGCGCACGTGCGCAGCGCGTGCCGCTCATGCAGCCGAGGGAGCCTTCACGAATCGTCCAATCCCGGCCTTCGACAGCGCGGACATTAGCGGCTTCTTGACGCCGCCGGACGCTGCTGGCGACCCAACCTCCCTAGGTCCAGTCAGCTTCCGCCGGGGCAAATCGAGGCTCTTGTCGTTGTAGACATCCCACCATTTCTTCACAAGCATCCGTATGTCCTCCCGATCCATATTCTCCTCCTTTCCTGTAAACTTCCATGGCTTCGAACCTGCAGCACAGTAGTGAACTACCTTTACCTTCTCTAGATCCACCTTTCCAGGATGCCTCCATAACATAGCCATTACTAGATTATAATCCAGTGGAATTGGTTTATAGATATCCCTAAAGTACATGTTCAGGAAATCCTACAAGATTTAAGTTGGGAATAGAATTAGAGAATGTGGATAGAGGTTCAATCGGGGGTTTAGGGATTTTGGTCTCGATTATTGATTTTACCTGTTCGGCGAACAAGGTTGGGGTAGTGATTTCAAGAGTGGAAAGAAGAGATTTGCCAGTGGAGATGCTGGGCTCAAAAACGAACATGCCGGCGTTGAAATACAGAGACGGAGGAGGTCCGAGTTCAGCAACAGGCCATGGCCGGCGATCGGGGCATTGCTGGCAATAGCCTATCTCGTACTGCTTCGAGTGACTCCAGGTCTTCTCGCAGAAGCAATCCAGCACCGCGTAGAAGTGGCCGTCCGGTAAATCGAAGAGATGGTCGATATTGTCGTACACTTGGATGTCCGCATCGAGATAAACCATCTTCCTGTACTCCACAAACTGTGAACAGAGACCATATCCAGATCAAAATCAGAAATCAATCGTAGCCGGTTTTTGACAAGAAATCAATAAATAGTTTACGAAGCCTTACATCCCAGATTCGAAGTTTAGAGTAGTTAATGACGTAGTAAGGCATGGCGAACTTGGTCTGGTTCTCGGGCGGGTAGACAGGCTCGATCTCACGAATGAGGCAGCCCTGCAACTCCAGCTCCCGGCGGTGGCTCGCCGGGACATTGGTCAGCACCGCCACTATCAGTGGGTAAGCCGATCTTACCTTTCTCAGACCCTTCGCAAGCCCCACCACACCCTTAACATAGTCACCGTCTCCTGCAAGGAAAGTCACGAAAGCCCCTCGCTGGATCGCATTAGGCTTCGCGAATCCGGCAATGGCAGCAGCACGTCTGGTAGTTTCCGGCGCCATTCTTTATCTTCTCGAATCAAAGAACGAAACCCTCGGCGAAAGAAATGGGGAAAAGAGAGAGCGAGAGAGGTTTTAGAGGAAAATATCCGAAAATAGAAGAGATCCTTCAGAAATCGATATCGAGAAGATTTATGGCGATTCAGGAATGGGTGTGTTTGGTTAAATAGGCGCAACATAAGGGTTTTATCGGAAATTCACTTGCGTTTGACGAAATTACCAAATACCCATCTTTGTTCTTTGTTTTTACGATATAAGGAATAGTATCTACCGTACACGTGCTAATACGATAGAGATCAACCGCCGCCGCAGCGCCAGGGTAAATATTGTTGAAGATATCTACGTTCTGGTCTCTTGCGTATCACTTTCCTTAGCCCATATCCGATCATCAAGAGAGCAGTTGCCGACATCAATGATCTCTTATCTAAACGGTGAGGATCATCGGAGCACGTTAGTTAGAATGTTCGCGGAAAAATTAGTTAAGAGTACTCTTTTGGAACTTTGGTTAGAGTAGTTAGTTGACCGAGGAGAACGACATTAGCCTTCTGTCGTCCGATGGAAAATCGACGGCAGAAATGGAGTCAAGGTCAGACTAAAGAAGCCGAGGCAACGAGATTCCCTCCGAGAGACACGTGGATACTCATGGTTGGACTGCGTGTGGCTCCCATACCGCCACGTGGACCGCAACTGACGGTGCGGATAAGGGCAGGACGGGCTTTATACGGGCAAGCTCAGGATATTTTTTGATAAGTGCATTTTATTTGGAAAAAAAATATTTGACAAATTTATTTAGAAATGAATTATGAAGAGAAGAAGTCTAATTTAAAAACACTTTAATCTCTACTTATATCATTTGAAACTATCTCTTATGATTTATGATCACAAGTGATTAGTGCACTAGTTGAATATTATATACTGAAAAAAAAAGTATTCACATTGGCAATATGGCGACCCAATTTGTATCAATATTTATTTCTTTTAAAAAGGGTCCATGAGTGCAAGCATGACTTTCAAGCATTCGTCACTAGCAAGTTGTACATTGATGCAAAGTTGTTGCGTCTTGGAGTATTCATGGCGGTAGAGAAATATATAATTTAACGTCTTAGCATTGTACGAAGATCCAGCACACAATCAGATAAGTGAGAGAGTGTATCATTCATAAGAGACACCAGAGTTTTTACGTGCAAACCCCTGAAAAGGGCTGAATGAATCCACTAGTATTTGTAGTCGATTACAAATGAGACCCTTCCTTGGGAGAAAGCCTTAGCTTGATGTCATAAATGTATATCATATAGAGTGCATTACATGGAGGGAGTTACAATAAATGTGTTTGTTTTTGTCGGCACGATCATAGTCGAGGATGGAGGTCGGAAAGACCGTTGTCTAGTGATGGAGGTCGGAAGGACCATAGTAGGCGACGAAGATCAGAAGGAGCGTAGTCGGCATGAGACCGGGGTCAGAAAGACCGTTGTCTGTTGATGGAGGTTGGAAGGACCACAGTAGGCGACGGAGTTCAAAAGGACCATAGTCGGCAGGAGATCGGGGCCAGAAAGACCGTTGTCTGGTGATGGAGGTCAGAAGGACCATAATAGGCGACGAAGGTCTGAAGGACCGCAGTCGGAAGGAGACTGGGGTCTGAAAGACCGTAGTCTGGTGATGGAGGTCCGGAGGACCGTAGTAGGCGACGAAGGTTTGAAGGACCGTAGTCAGTAGGAGACTGGGGTCTAAAAGAACGTTGTCTAGTGATAGACGTCGGAAGGACCGTAGTAGGTGATGAAGGTCTGAAGGACCGTAGTTGGCAGTATTCTGGGAGAACTCTGGTCATCAGGTGGTGGCCTGGTGGAGCTCAAGGCCTCAAGTAGTGGTCTGGCGGAAGTCTGGGCCTCAGGTGATGTTCTGGTGGAGCACACGGCCTCAAATGATAGTCTGGTTAGAGGTGATGGCCTGAAGTGGTGGTCCGGCAGAGCAACGACGTCTGGTAGTGGTCCGAGGGAGGTGAAGGCCTCAAGTGGTGGTCCCGCAGAGCAACGACGTCAGGCAGTGGTCCGGGGGAGGTGATGGCCTCAAGTGGTGGTCTGAGGAAGGTGAGGGCCTCTAGCGAAGGTGAGGGCCTCTAGCTAAGGTGAGGGCCTCTGGCGAAGGTAAGGGCCTCTCGCAAAAGGCCTCTGGCGAAGGTGAGGGCCTCTGATGAAGGTGAGGACCTCTAGCGAAGATGAGGGCCTCTGGCAAAGGTGAGGGTCTCTAGCTAAGGTGAGGGCCTCTAACTAAGGTGAGGGACTCTAACAAAGGTGAGGGCCTCTAGCGAAGGTGAGGGCCTCTCGCTAAAGGCCTCTGGCGAAGGTGAGGGCCTATCGCGAAAGGCTTCTGGCGAAAGTGAGGGCCTCTGATGAAGGTGAGGGCCTCTAGCGAAGATGAGGGCCTCTGACGAAGGTGAGGGTCTCTAACGAAGGTGAGGGTCTCTGACGAAGGTGAGGGCCTCTCGCGAAGGTGAGGGCATCTCGCGAAGGTGATATCCTCTAGCGAAGGTGAGGGCCTTTGGCGAAGGGGGCCTCTGGCGAAGGTGAGGGCCTCTGACGAAGGTGTGGGCCTCTGGCGAAGGTGAGGGCCTCAGGTGGTGGTCTGGCGAAGCTCTGGCGGTGGTCCGGCGAGGCTCTGACGGTGGTCCGGCGAGGCTCTGGCGAGTCTCCGATGAGGGTGAGGGTCTCAGGTGGTGATCCGACGAGGCTCCGGCTGTGGTCCGGCGAGGCTCCAGTGGTGGTCTGGCGAGGCTCCTGCGGTGGTCCGGCGGTGGTCGAGGAGGAGCTCCTTCCTTCTCTTCCTTCTCTTCTTCCTTCTCTTCTCTTCTTCTCTTCTTGCTTGGGGTCTCTTTTCAAGAGGAATGAGGGGTATATTTATAGATTTTTTTGAAGTGGCATGGCCCGTAAATAGGCAAGAGATCAGGGGTAAATGTGGAGTGGATGGATGGACGGCTGCTATTGAGTCCCTTGATTATGTATCGTTCGTCAGACATTTGAAGGCCTTAATGATGTTGGAATTTGGATATCTTAGGCTCGTTTGATTCGTCTCGTCGAGTCGCTCAATTCGACTATAAGCTAATCAAGTTTGAAAACCGTTTGGTAATCCAAATTGTGGTTCGAGCCTTCCAACAATGCTTCTGGTCCTTGATTTGGACACATATGGGCTCGGATTGAGCTGAATTTGGTGTCGTTGGGTTTGTATTTCCGAGACGCTCAGTTCGAATGTAAGTTTACTGAAATCGGAGTTGAGATGGTTTTTGAATTAATTTTTGAAGTTTCGAACTTGATTTTGCATCGAGATTTGTGTCCGATCAAGATAATTTTTTGATGACGTATCAAAAGTTATCAAAAACTCTGAAAGAAAAGGATGCAGCTTCCAACACTTTAGATTCAAAGTTCTGAAATAATTATTTGTTGATATCAAAATTGTTTAGGCAATTTATAAGGTTGTTATGATTTTTTGAATATGATGAGAAACCACACTTGAATTTCTTATGGTGGTATGTTAAAAAGCTAGAAAGATTATTAAAAAAGTGCATAGGGCATACAGGGGTGAGCTTTCATTTTTTTTATTACAGGCTTTTTCCATTTCAAGTCTTCAATCCACCTTCTACCCGGACCATGCAATGCTTCAGTTGTAGAGAGAGAAAGATTAATGGGGTAAAATATTAAAAGAGAAATGTAGGAAGACTTTACATTATGGACGGAATGATGAAAAACTAATTGTTTTAGTTGCTTAACAGAGCAAATCTGCTCTAATTTTTGTAATTCTTACTTTTAAAGTTATTTAGTAATCCAGAGAAGCCATTAACATCATTTTCTAGACACATGAAAAGCATCAATGGTTCACTTTCCCCATTGCTCATCTCTCTCGACTCATGACCTTGAGCATGACTTTTGTTTTCCCTTACGCTCCTCTCACCCCCAAACGAAGACCACCCGTGACAGATGTTTATGTCTTCTACGCTCTAAGGGTCATGCTATTTGTATTCTTAATTTTGATCTTATAGCTCCTCTTAGCTCCGGTACACTACAAAAAAATCAATCATTACCATCGTATTTTCCGGAGGATAGATGTACGCCTGAAAATGCGGCACCCAAACCGGTAAAAAATTCACTGGTATTTTAACGGCGGAATTTCATATGGAATATCCGTGGTTGATGCACCGACGTGGGAATTTAAAATGTTTCCAGTGCAATTTTTGTTAGTTATTACCGGCGGCATTATTGGCGAACATTGTGACGGATTACTTAACTTGACGACTATTTACCGACGCATTAATCATCGGTGAGGTAACCGACATATAAGCTGCCATGAAATTTGATGGAAAGGGCTCTATTTTGACCTAGTCACAATCTTTCTTCTCATTTCCTTCTTCTTCCCCCGGTTAGGTTGCATCTGTGAGCGTTTGAGAGCTGTCGTGAACACGACAACCTCTCCGACTTTCACTGCCGACTTGCACTGTTCTTCGCTGTCGATTGCCTCTACTCGCTGCCTCTCATTTCTTTCTTCTTACCTCGGTTAGGTCACATCCGAGAGCTACCGCAAACGCGAGACCTTGCCAACTTTTGCTGCCGAACATGCACCATTCACCATCATCAATTGCCTATGCTCACCATCTCCGGTAAGAGAAGGTCGCTGCTTCCTTATATTTGTATTCTTTTTTTTTTTTGTATTTGTTATGGATGTTCTCACTATACATTTGCAAGAGAAGGAACTTAGTGTATGCTATTATTTTGGGTTATGAATGTTCTCACTACACATTTGTAAGAGAATGTATCTTGATATATATGCTTTTAAATTGTTTTTATTTAGGATGTAATCACTAGATATTTGCAAGAGAATGAACCTAGGCGTGTGCTATTGTTTTGATTGTGGGTGTTCTCAACCATATAGTCTAAAGGTTTTGCATAAGTAGATCTAAAACTTAATATATGAAGTGTATTTTTAGTTGTGATAGACCTAATTGAGGGATTGTGACTTTGTGCGATGAAGTCAGTAATAAAAGTACACATTTTAATTAATATCTTTGATCTATTTATAATAAAATAGATAAGGAAATTACTTGTAAAATTCAAGTTGGATGGTGGAAGTAGAGGAATACAAT